CATTTTGTTTTCGAGAAACACATATAGGCTTTATCGGAATGCTTTAAATAATAAAGCAATTATAAAACGGACTTCGTGTCCCACTATGAGTAATAGCTAAAAAACCTAACTTAATAATAAGAAGAATTGTTTTGAAATCTCATCGGAAATTATATATTAAAAAGAAGATAATGCGTAATGAAATTAAGTACCTACGCCTTTTCTAAACTTTTCACTGTCGATATCAATATCCTCGTCTGCAAAATGAGTCAATAAGTAGGATGAATTTATGATGCACATTTTTTCTTATTGACAAAATTTTTTTGAATTTAAATTTTTTTTTAATGTTATTTTTTTGAATAAAACCAATTGAAATTTATTGATTTTTGAAACACGGGCTCTCTTGAGAGTATTCTAGTTTAAATATTGAGTTTTAAAATTTTTACTATTGATATAATTTATCGATATAACGAGCACACAATAAAATTCTTTCTATCAATATTTATAAAGATATTAAGAAAAAAGAATCATAGAAGGCACCTTTTACTAAATATATTAAAATTATTATCAAGTATTATTCGAAAATATTTGTTTGGATTAATACTTATACTTATAAACGAGAGACAACGGCCTTCATTGTTCATTATTTCTTTGTAACATTATTTGAACTTGTTGTTTTTTTATGTTTTTATTTAAAAAAAATTCACACTCTAAAGTGCCTTAAACATTTGTAATGAAAATCGTACCTTGCTGTCAGGTCAGGCTTTGCGCCTATTGTAGGGACCATTAAATTATAAATTAGTAAATGTTATTTTAGGAAGTAAATATTATTTATATTTATAAATAAGTTATTTACCCTAAATATTATTAATTTAGGGATTAACACAAAATTTAACGTAGGTGGGTAATAGTGTATAACAGACCATCAAAAACATAAGTTATCAAAACCGAGCCTTATATGTTATTTGAAATGAAAGATAAATGTGGTGGACGAACTTGAAAAGCCTTTTGCAGCGATTAGGATTAAAACATGACGTGTCACAAACTGTATTGGTAAGTTTTTAAATTTATTTGTTTGCGATGGTGACGAAGAGATCTTCGGAAACACTGATCCGAAGTGAAATCGCGGGACAGCCAGGTGTCAATAAATGTTGCAACTTAGATTAATTTTGACGTCTAGATGGCGTTATGGCGAATTACATCGCGATAATAAAATATTCCTGTCATTTTATATATCGACGCTGGAAAGCAAACACGTAGTAACCCGCAAAACTAAAATTATCCTTCAGAGCAGATTAACTTTTATTTTTTTCGATAAATAATTCTTATGCACGTCCATGGTAATAAATAAGGTGTTCCTTACTCAATTTATCCGGAAATAAGATATTATTTTTTGAAAAATATAAAGATTTTCCACTTTAAGTATGCATTTTGGTTTTGCGGGTTACTACGTGTTTGCTTTCCAGCGTCGATATGTAAAGTAGATTCGAAGTAAACGTCGCCGTCCTGCGAGTATGAATTTTTGTTTATCTCCCCACGATTCCTGGGATTTTGTACCGAAATTTTACAAGGTCGTGACGAGCCGAAGGACGGTTTTCGCAAATAAAAAAAAAATAGTAGATTGAAATCTATGGACGAGTGAAAAAGTTTAATTATCAAAAAGTATAGTTGAAAATAAAAGTAGATAATGAGGATATCTGCGATAAAGGTTAAAGTGTCGGAAAACTGTAAGTAAAATTAGTGAAAGCTCACGTGAATTCAGTAGCGTCAAAGACTTAGAAAAATATCTTAAGTATTGAATAGGCTCCCAAACTACTCTAAAAATCTTTCACCTATGGGAAGCTACATCATATGCGGTGACATTGGCAATATAGGCAATATTTAATACTAAAAAACAAGAAATAAAAGGATGAAAATGGGAGTGCAAATTTGTATATTCATGTCATGATATGAATAGATACCCAAATAAACAGTCCAATAGGGACCATGCGGGCGAAGCCGCTGGCAGAAAGCTAGTTAACTAAGAAATTATTTAGTAATGAAACACTGTCGAGTTTGGACGAATTTGAGTTGTCTACACATGGTCTCTGTTTCAAGATGGTACAACTGAATCTTATTTTTAATTTAAAAATATTTGGAACCCATAGCATTCGTGTAATCAGTAATACCTAAATGTAATCTAAAGGCAGTTTAATTTCAGTGCAGTTACTTTTGCGTAGGTACATTCATTATTACAAAAAAAAAATATATATATATTTTTATATTCACAATTTCAATGAGAAAATAGTCGCAGATTACTTCTAAAAAGTTTTGTTTGTTCGCGCAAAAAAAAGCTGAAGCAAAAATATTTTCTTTTAATTTGAATCGTATTTTCTTTTCATCCATCCAAAACATATTTTATCGTGACCGCTTCAGAAAAAATCATATCGTGTATTTATTTAGGATGAGAACGTTAAGGTAACATAGCTTATATGCCACTGAGAATAACTATTTGCGATACAAAAATGATTTCTCCACACTTATTTTGCTGTTAGATACCTACTGTCACCTAGTAAGGGTACTAAAAAGCATCTGATACAGCTTCAAATTACGATAGTTTGTCCTTAAGAGTATGTTGGTGTGGAAATGTTATTGAGATATATGATAGTTAATTTTTAACATTCCAGCGGTAGAAAACAGTGGGCTGTATTAGGCGACAGTATCTTACACATGAAATCGGCTATCATAGACTGATATGAATTTGCCAAATCTGTTTCATGTAATGTATGAACATTAAATCTAATACTGCATAGCATTTTATCTCACAGGATTCTAATGAGATCAGGTTCTGTTATTCTTTAACACAATTCGTGTACAATAACATATCCTTTAATTAGCTCATTCTTTAGTGTGCGTGCTGTTGGTTTTCAAAGATAAATAAATAAATAAATATTCAATGTCGAACGCATCGTCGATCACAACCCTATGATTGTGCTTATATTCTCTTTTCAATATAGCATAGCCTTATGTTTGTCAATCTAGTGCTTTATTTACTGCGCCATAAATCTTACGCATTTCTTTTGAATCTTAAATATTGATAAGGGCCCCATGCTCTCTGTCTTCATTATGACAAGCAATTTATAAAATAGTTAACTGTCTTCCCATGACTTGGTCCGCTTGAATTATAACCTAGCGGGACCTAGTGTCATACGGGTATGATCTAGCTTCCCATAGGTGACAGTATTTTTAAAATCGGTTCAGTAGTTACAGAGTCCATTCAATACAAACAAACAATCAAATGCTATCAAGTATAGATGCAATGCCATATATTGGAGAACTTTTGCATCTAGCAATGATCATCGCTACTAAAAGAGTCTATTTTAAATATATATGTCTATAGGAATATTATATACCATCATATTTTCTAAATACTAAGCCTTAGATATATTATATCTCTTATATCTTACTTTAACCTAACTTAAACCAACGATACTTTATGATCTAACTAAACAGATTATAACTTTCAAAATACTAGTTTTATACTATTAATTTATTATTTTTTAGTCCCAGAATAAGCTTTTAAGATAAAGTATGTATGCATTTGATTTATTTCGAACATAACCTATTGGATTATTTTCTTTTACGGAAAACTGTTTCCGAAGACGTGATTCATTTTTGTTTAATCGACATCGATGACACCTGAGTCGCGTTACCTTATCAGGCGTCTTAACCTTTGCATATAACAATAAGAGCTTGTCTTTTTATTTTATATAAGGTCGTATGAAAAGTGTTTCTGTATTTCCAAAACGAATTCAAGACGATTTCTTAAAATTTTAATAAGCGTAAAAAATCACTATTTATGAATTTGTATGCGAATTTTTCAAGTTGCTTGATATTATCTTGATATGACGTTCAAAGTAGAACATGAAAAGTATTATAAAGTGATGTAAATGAATTGCCGCGAAGAAAAACGACTGTGAAGATATCTATGATTTCTCGATAGATGGTCTATTCAACACAAAAAGAATTTTTCAATTCGAACCAGTAGTTCCGAGATTAGCGCGTTCAAACAAACAAACAAACTCCTCAGCTTTATAATATTAGTATAGATAATTATTATTTTCTCAAAATAAATTCAACTACTAATATAAATATCAGGGTAGTATTATAAATGAAGAATTTATTAAAAACCGATAAAATAACAGTTTGATGCATTTCATATTCCACAAAATATTGAGGAAGTGACAAATATGAATAATTCAAAAAAGTAAAATTATAATTTTCAAAATCAGATAAATAAACTGATTACCGAAATTACGTTAAAAAATATATATAATAGTAGAAGTTTAAAAAAGCGAGAAAAAATATATTAATATTTTTCCGCGATGAACGAATAGGACAATGAAAATACAATAAATTATTAAAAAGAGTAATTAATAAACATATCACATTGGATATTTCAAAATGTTTCAAAGGTTCTCCTTCTTTTCTGCTAAACATTCCATTAAATAATTCAAAATTATTTTTAAGATTCTCTATCGATCACTGGTTACTTTTGCCTTTGCTCTCAATAGCAGTTTGTCAACAGCACTCGAATTTATTTTTCATAGCTTTCACTCTGCAACTTCAGATATCTCAACGCAAACAGTTTTTTTTTTCTTCTAAGTATTGTTGCTTATCCGTGATAGGTTCAAGAAGTCAAAATGATTTCCGATTACTACTATGACACCGATACCCCGATAATGGTACCGGGGGCAGCACCACTGATGATAATAATAAAAAAAATGCGTATACTCCGCTTAAAGTATGCGTGTGTGACGCACACAGAAGATGACTTGTTGCAAATGTATAAAAGCGGTGAGTTGATTTCGAAATCAACACAACCATTTGGAATTCTCTAAGGAGTGGTACATACCGTGTGGTGATTTAGTTTCCGCATCGTGACTGCAGGCCGCGAGTGAAGTGTGCAATTTGGAACCAATTTCAGTGAAAAAAAATAAATAAATTCGATTTTCAAATTCTTTTTCTGGAGTGCTCTCAGGATGATCGCCAAGGAGGTTATTATTGTAAGTGCTATTTATATGAAAATTAAAAAAAAATAAAAACTTTTTTCTATTTTCTCCATTTCAAATTAAAATGAAATTTGTTTTAATGAAAATAACTTCTTTGTTGTTACAGTGCATCGCTGTTGGCATAGTTGCAGTAGTCGGTTCCCCTATTGAAGATGGCAAATGGCATCCATACAAATATGGAGACGATGGCAAGTAAGTAAATGCCAAGATATTGAATAAAACATTCACAACATTTTCAAATCTGAAATCCAAGACGATTTAATATAATCAAAATGCTAACTGCATTCCACAGTAATGACTAACATTAGCATAATTAATTTAAAATTAAAATCAATATCTTTGTAAAAAACAATATTTTCAAATGCTCATCAAAATGTTAGTTATATTATTAAGACGCATCAATGAAATGAAAGAAAGAAATTATTCAAAACAAATCTATCAGATTTATATTCAATATAATATGTTATTCCAAAACACAATTGAAATAATACTATAGGTCAAATTAAGCAATTGAAGTTATATATCTTATAAAAACCAACACGAAATAATTTATTATGTCTATTAACTTGAACAAGACTATCAACCATGATATTTTCGATGCACTCAGCTTTATTGATTTCAGAAATGGTATAAATAATTAACAAATCGTATGTTTATATTGTATAAAATTTAAATAATTTATGTTAAAATTACTCAACTATTTAGGAATTACATCTCTTTCATTCAACGTATTTCAGTTCTTACCACTTGAGTTAAGTGCAATCAATATAGTTTTTCAAAATTTTCTATGCAGATTTAATATATCAATGATATTCTATCTGTCCTTAGGTACATTCCAACAGACGAAGGAAAATACATTCACATACCAAATCCCTATATCCACATCGACAACCCTTACGACGGAGGCTACGGACCGTACTCACACGATTATGAACCTTACGTCGGTGAGGCTTCAGTCGATCACTACAGGCACGTGTTGACACCTCCCGATGAGCTTCTGCCTTTCTACAAAGAAGGTTACTATAAGAACAACGGTATCAAGATCATAAGACAGAAGCACAATTACGACGAAGATAAATATGACTTCGAGTGAGTATTAAGTATATTATCATCAAAACCTAATAATTAAGTAAACGAAGATTTTGTAAGAAGTTCGAAAAAACTTTTTAGAAAAAGTTGTTTATTATGAAGTTTTAAAACGTTAAAAAACATTAAATATGATGACGTAATTTCTTCACTTGGGACAAAATACTGAGTTACTAAATTCCAAATGAGTTGAAATGTAACTTTTGACAAATAAAATACCTAGATAATTTTGGAGTACGGCAGTTTAGTATGCAAAACGAAGTACTTTTTAAAAAGTCACTAATATAAAATAGTAACTAAATATGTTTCCTTTTTCAAATTTTTATTTATTTAACTGCGTACTAATACATTGTCAAAACATTCAAAAAATTGTGCGTTAACGTATTTTAAATGAAGATTTTAAGCTTTAAATTTGGTTAATTAACATTAACATTCAGCAAAAACAAACATTCCCATCGATTCCGGTTTCGATATCTATTTATTAAAACCAGTACTAGAGCATTAAGTTCTTAGAATATCTATAATATTATTATCAAAGCCATAATTTACTTCGTCAATTGACTGAATAGCCGATAATTAACAAAGCGCTACCTATAATACTATGCTGATATTTATTTCTTCCTTCGTACTTAGCCAACAATGTCTACAGCTTCGATATTAATGCTTTATTTACAATACACTTTGCTCGAAGGTCTCATAACAATGAAATAATTAAATAACACATTTTTACAATTAAATATTTCAAATTAATCACACATATATAAAAAAATAAGCGTTTGATATGTTCTTCATATATTATGAATAAATTTTCATATCGTCATATTGAGATTAATCAAACCGACACCTAAGTCAAAAAATCGCATAGTTAATTACCTCGATCTGACCATGGACAAATTTTTGTTTCAACACTATATTATTTTAAACAAAAATTAAAACAAAATACAGGTTTATTTGAAATTACGTTGCTAGTGAGGTATAAGCTCTACTTATTTTGATACGGAAAATAAACTTTTGAAATATAGTAAAAGGTAAACAAAGTATAAAATGTGTTATATAATATTCATCCATTAATTTCATTTAAAAAATCATATATAAAAAAGTGCTGATCAAAATGTTTATATGCAAGCTCTTAATTAGCAGATAAATAAGACCAGAAATTTATATTATAATAAACAATAACAAAAAAACTATATAATACAACGCAAATACAAAGATATATATACATTATTCGTGCTTGCTTTTCTATTGTACTATTAGAGGTACTATCAATACACAAAAAAATGTTTACCGAACTTATTCTCGTAAAAGCTTTGATGACCCCGGAAGGCTTATTTCGCGAGAGAGGTGTGAAAAGTCACGATCGGTTGACTCGTTTTCCGTTGGTATGTTATTAGCAATCGGACAAATATATGTATATTTTGTGTCTATCCTTATTCTATTTAAACAGTTGTTGATTCTTTTTTGTAGTTTAGTATACTTTTTAAACCCTTTTGTAGTTATTGAAACCAAAACCCCAAAATATAAAAAAATATATACTTAATTTAAAGATAATCACGTCATTTAAATGAATATACATAATATGTTGATAGTATCAGAATTTCCAACTATGTGTAAGTTATTTCAGATTAGCGTTATATTAAGCGTGTAAGAAATACGATTCCGGTTCGGTCCTGTGTAACAAATGCAAACTTTCTATTTTATAAATAATCGTTAGATTTATCAATCGATTAACTACTTAAAGTTTGTGATATCAGTCATAACAGAACACGACCTCGATTAATAACTATTAATTGATTCAAAACCATTAAAACAATTAATTCGTCGCCTTTTAGCGGAGACAAAGGAATTTTGATTTAGCGATACTTAATGACGTCAAAATTGTAAATAATGTGAATATCGTTGACAGACTGACTGAGCCATTCGATTTATAACACTAACCTTGTTTTGCGGAGTTTTTATCAGAAAATTTCTGACGTCTTTTAGGCATGCACAATCCATTCGTAACCTAGGTCATCATTAGTATGTAAATTGATCGATTTGTTAACTACATTAATATTTAGTGGAAGACTAGCTGTTTTCTCGCGAATTTGTGTAAATTAATCTGTGTCAGCCGCATATGTGATTTCCGTAGGTGGATGAATTTTTAAAATCAACAAATAATCAAAGCCTCTCTACAATGTTCGTATAATCATATCTGAACTAATTAAAAACTTAATAGACTTTAGAACGAAACTGACACCAAAACGAACAAACAAATATACAATTTGTAGTCTTATAATAATTAACTAGCCTGAATATAAAGTAATAAATAAATTGATTTATCAAAGTTACTCCGATTAAGTTCTTAACTGTAACATTAATTAATAATAGAATATTAAAAACGAATTCCTAATAACGTATATGGTTAAGTCTAATTAAGAAATATTATCTCATCGAAATGACAAATAACCGTAAGTTATTCGAAAAACCTGTCAATATCCTTGACTGCATAACAATAATACAGAGCATTCGCCATCACAAAAATTCGCCTTGACCTCGTCGTCACTCAGGTCAGAGTTCGTATTTATTTATGATAACCAAACGAGCTACGTAGTAACATAATAAACGAATTTATAAACAAAATAGCTTTGAATCTAATTATAAATAGATTCTTATTCATACGTGAACTTCAAGCTGAAATAGTTTGTTGATAATATAATTTCGTAATATTACGCTCCAAGATCCATGGGTTTAATTTTGATTTCCGTCAATGTCAACTTAGATTATGACTTTAGAATAACTAGCTTTCCGTCAGCGGCTTTCCTTCCTTTTGAATCTCTGCATATTCATGAAAACCACATGAAAATCCGTTGTGTAGTTAAATAGATTACAGCATGTATAGATTGTAGCATTTATTTTACACACACTTGACTAAAAAAAATCGGCTGACCTTTCGTTTTCAATAGCGAAATTAACACAGTTAACAAAAGGAAACATAATAAACTTTAAACTATAACTACCAATGTATTTGTCCTAATCTGAATAATAAAACGTAAGTATAATATTAGTAACGAATAGAAAATTAAATGTTCCGTTTGATTTGAAGGAGGTTATTGATCTTACAAAAATAGTCGACGTCAATAAAATTTAAGACAAACATAATATTTTTCTTTTTTGTTACTAATGCATAAAGCCAGTCCAAACGTGTTTGTTTCTCAAATTACTTGAGAAGATTATAAAGATTCTCTGAATAGATAAACTACAACATAACCTAACCTAAATGCATTAACACTGGCTACTATTTTTAGGTTTCCACGTAAGAAATATATACTATAAACAAAGTATTTCAAGAATAGGTTAAAACACAACTTGTATTATTAAAACAAATATAATACGTCTATTTATACATAAAGCATAATATTTGATATTTATCAAAAATAGTCACGAAAAACTTATAACCAAAAGGATTATTAGCACAGTGAATTTATAGACAAGAAATTAACTATCCCTCTGTAAAAAGAATAAAAAAAACATGAAATGGCTTGTAATGATTAAATTAAATAATGTTTAGCTAAAAAATAGAATTTACTACATTTAAAAAATATATATTGCATCAATTATACATTTTAGGGTGTATATCATAAAGGTGAATTAAGATATAAAAATATTTCTGTGTTGCATATCAAGTATTATTTTATTGAAAGTATTATTTATTAACAATAATGGATACTTTTTTCATCTATGAGCTTAATTTACAGTGAAATTTATTTGTTACATTCATTGTTCACAGTTTCGAAACCGAGAACAAAATCCGAGCGGAGGAGAAGGCCTTCATTAAAAACCCGAACACCATCGACGAAGGCATCGCATCCAAAGGCTTTTACGAGTACATCGGCCCCGATGGCTTCTTATACCGGGTGGACTACACCGCCGATGAAAACGGCTTCCGGCCATCGATAAAGCGGAAAGAAACCCCATATTCCGGAAAATGGGTTCTAGAAAAAGTCTAAAATATGCCTGACGCTCACTTTTCCCATTCTTATACTCACTTGAATCAGTATTCAAACATTACATAGTATAAATTTCAAACATCATTGACTGTTCACAAATTAAAGTAAGACCAGGAAAACAACAGATCATTCCATGTCACAAGAATCTTAGTTAATTGTAATTTATATATTAGATTAAGAATTAGTTTGTATTTTAGATATTTATTTATAAAATGTGATAATAAATTTATATCTCAATTGAAATGCTTTTGTGTTATTTTATTATAAAGATTATAGCGATAACGACTCTTAAAAGTAATTTATTATACTATCATCACCAAAATTAATGATGATATTACAGTAGCCATTCTTTGATAGATTTTTGTATATTTATCATCATGTATAAGTAGAAAGGTGTTTTTAAGATTAATAACAGAATGGACAATAGTGACTTCGACCACAATAAATTACGAGTTAGTAAAAAATACCGTTCATTGATACAAAATATTAAAGTGACTCATTGTTTTACATAATTACAAAAGAAATTAAACTCCTCGAATTTAACACATAACAATTTTTTTCTTCAAACGATGCGTCAAAAATATTTTGAGATAGAATGCAGACAAATTTCTGAGAATTAAATGTCATCTCGGAGCCTTGGTATTTTAAAAAGAAAAATATTTCAGACAGTTGAATACCTAAACTAATAAGTGTAGCCAAATATAAAAACAAAATTATATCGTAAAAGGATAACCAGCTTTATTCTCTCTATTTTAAATACTTCACAAATATTTAGCCCACATAATAACATTTTTAATGAAAAAAAAAATACATAAATCTCATGTTTCATGGTCGCTATTAAAAGATAAAGCAGCCTGACCTCACTCTTAAATATACGGCAACTCATTAGGAATTAAGCATTAAATTCAGACTGATTGATTTAGATAGAATCAATCATCTAGGTCGTAGCAATCTTTACCAAACTAAATGGGATAATGCGTTAACATTTTACAACAAATCAAATGCACCCACGAATAAAAATTCATATTGAATGAATCAGTGTTAAAAAAAACCGTTTAACATTTTCGAGGACAATTTTATTTAAATAACTTCTTTAACAAAAAATAATAATAAATATTTTTGAAAGTTTTAAATTTACTTTTTATGATTATTCCTCAGTTTGTAATAATTTGAATTTATTTTTGTTAAAAGAATCGGATTTATAAAATAAATTATGATCTAGTTAGAATGCGTGAAATTGTCACATTTTTTTGTGTTTCTGGACAGATATGAGTTATTGTCTGAAAACGAATATAAATAAATAAATAAATATTTAACAACATCACATACATTGCTCAGATTCCAAGATGAGTAGCTAAAGCCCCCGTATTATGGAGTATCTGAGACAACGATCACACAACACCCAGACCCGAGACAATATAGAAAAGTTCATTTTCTACATTAACCCGACCGGGAATCGAACCCGGGACCTCAGAGATGGCGACATCTTGAAACCGGCGTGCAAACCACTCGGCTATGGAGGTCGTCTTATGTCGGCTACGGAAGTCGAATATGAAAGTATTATATGATTGTGAAGGAAGTTTATTTTCTAGAGATTCAATTTTTTGTTCATTGGCTATTCAAATTACATATTGCTTCATTTTTTTAATGTAAATTATTTATTTGTTATAAATCTTAAAAATATTTGCGGTAGTATCGTATAGGTCGAGTCGTCGAGCGAAGCGACAATGGTCAGCTCAGGCGTCACGTTCGTGAACTAGAGATAAGTGTACTTTAGACTACTTACTTTTGTCATTATTTTCTGTATTACATATAATCAATAAATAAACCATATGCAGCTAAGACTAACGTCTTAACATGGATAGTGTCGGTCACGGGATGGGTGGCCAAAAAAATATTATCTCAAGCTACTCCGTACTTCGAAAGGCACGTTAAATATTTTATACCTAACTATTAAAAATCAATGTCTCTTGGTGGAGGTATTATTTATCTAAAATGAATACATCACTGACGGTTTGTAACTGTGGTTCGTTTAAATTCCATTTTGTACGAAATAAAACTGTATTATTGAAAAATAGCATACACTGAATTGCGAGTAATAATTGTCGGACTTCATAAATTTCGAATCATTAGAAAACTTTTAACAGGAGCTCGATGGTGCAATGGATGATTCGCTCTGCGGTACTGTCAGTAAGAAACTTTCCCAAGGGCCGGACATGGGATAGATTACCAAAAATTTACTATCCTGAGCTCCTCTGCACTTTTTTTTTTTTATTCAACAAAACGAATACAAATAATTTAATATATCAGAACGGTACAACATAAACTTACAAAAGTTTTTCCATGTACCGCCGATTCGCACTCAAACACATGAAGCATATATAGGATGTTTAATTGTCACAATATCATAATATTTCGTATGGCATGGCATAATACTTCGGATGGCACATTAAGCCATTGGTTTCAGCTCCATCTGCAGTCGTTACCAACGGGCACCCCACCCATCAATACGGACTGAGCCCTCGTAGTCACGGCCCATTCTCCTTATTTGATTTGATTGGATATCATCCTTAGGGAATGCATGTTTCCAAACAGTAGTAACATCAACAGGCTAATGAAAAGTCTTGCTCATCTAATTACTTTTGAGCCTACAATGGAGCATAATCATCTAAAACAGTAAAAGTATTTATTAAAAAATACTATTCAAATATACTATTATTTATTGCATATTATTTCAATAGTTATTTTGTTCACAATGCGTAGAAATATGAAACAAATAACTATGTCTATATCACAATTATGATTAAATTGTCCATATGACATCTTAGCAATAAATTGAGCTACATATCTATGTATCTATATCTTCACGCCATATCCTTTGCGAGGCAGGCAGAGAGGACCAATTGTCACAATGTATGGTCCTTACATACATCTTTCATTTTTCGTGTCATCCACTTTAATTCAAGTCAAGTCAAGTCAAAATAATCTTTATTCAAATAGACTTCTTAAAAGTACTTTTGAATCGTCCAACATTTTTTTCCCTACCGCTCGTTCAGAACGTCTTTTGGCTGATAAGAAGAACGAGCAAGAAACTCACCAGCTCTAATAGGAGTAATGACAATTACAAAAACCATGCCATTACCAGATCAATACATTATAAATAAAGAGAAAAAAAGCAACTATGGTTTTATAATGATAACATAATAATTTAATAATAATGGAAGCAAGATAATTTTTGATATATAATGAGTTAAGAAGTAATCACCTATCCAGTTGCTGGATCATCTCAAGTCCAAGCATTCTTATCTGTTATATAATCTGATACCTTATAGTAAGCTTTTTTAATAAGTATTATTTTAATAGTAGATTTAAACTGCATGATATCTAATTGTTGTATTTTGCTTGGGAACTTATTGTAGAAGCGCACACAAAGATCTCTGAATGAATTATTAACTTTTTGTAGTCTAGTGACAGGCACCGTTAATTTATTTTTATTTCTTGTATTAATATTGTGTACATCACTTTTTATAGAAAACAAACCAATATTGTAACGAACGTACATTAAGTTCTCGTATATGTATTGAGAAGCAACAGTCATTATGCCTATAATATTATAACTCCTTTCATACAAACTCGCCGGTTTTTATGGTTTCTGAGATCACCTTCTAACGGCCCGCGATTGATTTGATCGTGTGTCTTTTTTAGTAAAAATGGCCAAATATGTAGGCCATTTTTACAAAAAAAAAATGAAAGAAATTTTATATTCGTTGTTGAATTTTTAAGATTCTCGTTTTAATATCTGTCTTGACTGTAAACAATTGATTGGATATTAGTGTTTTACATTACCCGCCCTTTTAACCCAGAAAAAATTTACCGTGTTGGTAATCACACTAAAAAAGGTAAATTATGATCAGAATGACATTTTTCAACACTCGTTAAAATTACATAAATAATTAAGAAAATGTTTATGATTTTTTTTACAGAATGATGTTTGAAATTCTTTTTTTAAACTTGAATGCTAACGCCTTTCGCTATTCTATTTTATCGCTATTCGCTTGCGAATACAAAATATCTGCGAAACTATGCGAATGATGACAGAATTGTTAACCTTTTGAGAAACGAAATTCGTGATATTCGGATAGTCATCAGAAATCTGTTGGTGCTGATACTAGATCTCATACAAACCCTTGCGTCATTTTTTGTGTAGTTATAATGTTATAATTTGGCAACTTAATTTTTTTAAGCAGCACTACCTTACTGTTGCAGTCTTTATTTGCCTAATAATATTGAATTTGTAAAATTCAAACTCGTCAAACACTATAAATTAATGGAATCCTACTCCTCGCGTCGTTAACCTCATTACTGAGGGTCGTGATTCCTTACTTGTAGTGTGATCTTTCTCCGGGCAATTGCTCGCTATCTGTTCCTCTCCAACTGGATGTGATTTGAATGTGGGGTAAATGCAGAGTAGTGTCCAAGGTTGTACAGATCTGGTCAGTTCACCTGATTGGGCTATATCCTCTTGGTCTTTTGCCGTCAATCGTTCCAGTATCGGATAATGGAATACCTTTCCAAACTTACTACTTTCTACTTTTCCAAATATATCTATGTTCAATTAAAAAAAATAGTTACATCGGTATAAAGAAAAACTTATATGATCTTCTTTTGAAGATAACTATTGAAGCTCAGTCATCTGCTTTTTTCGACCGTCCCTACTACGAAACGGAATACTTTAACTGCATTAACCATTACATACTCTCTGATATTTAGAACCACGATGTTTTCTCCTTCCAAAATTTCTCATCCAAGGAATTTTGCCACTTAAAATAAGTTGGAGAAGTATCGGAGAGATAGGTCTCCAATGCTGAAGATACAGTCTTACCACTGCCTATATGAGATCAGTCATATATGAAAATGCCGATGTATACGGTGATTGTAGAATACTTTTTCATATTAAAGTATCCACGAGAACAAGACACAGTATTGCAATTGTGACGTTT